TTCCCTTCGAATATGTGCTTCTTTTTATAAAATCTAAGTAGCTCTCTTGTGAAAAGTATAGATCACACGCAACAAAATGCGTTATATACTGTACACTATATCGTTTTTACAACCGGTTTCTTCTTTTTTTTTCTTCTTTTTCTTCTTCTTTTCGATTACATAATTAAGTCCAAGAAGAAGTGTCCTTGAATCGGTTTCTAACTTTAAATTATGTTTGACTGAACTCTCTTGTTTTTTTCACTCTTCTCTTCTCCCATCTTTTTTTTTTTGTAACTTTTAACCACAGACTACTACCCATGATGAAAAAGACTATAATCACATTGCGCCAAGAATTTCGATATATACCTTCTTTTTTTGAGGCTTCATATTTTGTAGGCTATTTTTTTTCTTTATATAGACGGGAATTTTTTGGCTGCGGGAAGTTGGTGGAAGTTGTCTCTCAAGTTTTAGTTGGTTGGTTCACTTTGTTTGTGAGAGAATTTTCATGCCATCTAGGCGGCGATTTAACGAACTGTCTTGGCGCGAAATTCAAAAACGGAAAAATTGTAATTTTGTATCTTTTCTTTTTTTATTTTAATTAATTAATAATATTGCCACTCGGTATCAAAATTGGCTCAAAATTTACTTAAATACTCAACCGAATCACTGAGAATTTTTGTTAATTTCTTTTTCTTTTTTTTTTTTCTTTAGATTGCAGTTTTCTAATAAGAGAATTTATGTTTCTGTATTTGCATTTTTTTTAAGAGAATTTTTTTTCTTTTTTTTGCCAGAAAAACCGAAGAATGACCTCTGTGAAAATTTAAATTAGCCTGTTTGAACCTTTAAAACGTAATATAATGCTAATAAAGCAATGTTTTGATCACATTTATCGATACGATCTCATTGACCTCAAAGAGTGCGTTCCAATAAAGTTCATAGGCCTGAAGTATTTTATTTCTGCTATTTTTTTGGCAGTCATCAAACCTTAAAATGTACTAATTTTTTTTTTTTTTTATTCTTTTGCATGGTTGCTGAACATCCGATTATTCATCTCTCTTGCATGCTCATTATTCCTGCTTTGAAAAGGAAATAATTTCAAGGTGTATAGGAAACAAAGTAACTGTTTTCTTTTCTTGATGATTATTTTCAAAGACGTTAAATTTTTTTCGATTTATTTTTCTCCTATTTTAACCATTAATTTTGTTAATTGTAGTTAACGATAATTATAAACTTTATTTTTACTCATTCTTTTTATTTTTATTTACTTTTATTTATTTGTTTCAATTATTTATTTATAATATAAATGGGATATAAAAAATTAATAATAAACAAAAGTTGTACGAAGCGGCAAGCGTTTTCGTACAATTTTTATTTATTATTAATTTTTTTTTAAGTGCATTAATTTCAAATAATTGCAAAATGCAAATATTAATAATCAATAACATAATTTATTTATAAATTAATTAATAATTACGTTTTAAAGGTTTAAACAATAATAATGCCTATTATTATTATTTAATAAGAATATTATTAACAAATTATAATCTATAATGAATAAATAATAATATATTTATAATATAATTCAATTTTGTAATAATTATATAAGCAATTAGTTTTTTAAAAATTACTATTTTTGAAAACTAATTATAAAAAATACGAATTATTTTCTCTATTTAATCATTTGGAATTTGTTTTCTTTTCTCTAGAGTTGCAGTAGTTTCCTTTTTCCAATAATCTGGAAAAAAAAAAATTAATTGTACTTTGTTTTCCCATAATAAATAAGAATAATAAAATAGCTTTAAGCGTTAAACGAGAATTTTTCAATTATCAGCCAAGGTTATTATGCGCCATTTTTTATTTATGGTTGTATAAGAAATGACAAGGATATAATGTTACTTTTCCTTCTTTGATGAAAAATTCTTTATTGTATATAATATATTTTTTTTTGTAAAACTATATCTCTAAAAATTCCACGAAAAATTCCAAAAATGGTTTTTAAACATGTCACAGTAGATATATTGTTAAAGGCTATATATTCAACTTAAGTGGAAATAAATGATCAATTTTCACCGTTTCAATACTTGGAGAAACATTTTTTCTTTTTTTTTTTACTAAAATAGTTGCAATAACAACAAAGGAAAAAAAAGAATGAGTAAAATATATTTGTTTTTGTTAGTCATATTTTTTTTATGGAAACAAATAAGTTCGAGAAAAATGTTTTTCTTTATTAAAAAAATATTTTCTATATTAGAAAATATTTTTTCATTTTAGAAAATATTTTTCTGTATTAAAAAATATTTTTTATTTGAGAAAATATTTTATAGAAAATATTTGTCTATTTCAGAAAATATTTTTTAATTTAGAAAATATTTTATATTTAATATTTTTATGTATTAAAAAAAATTTTTTTGTTTCAGACAATATTTTATAGAAAATATTTTTGTCTATTTCAGAAAATATTTTCTATTTTAAAAAATATTTCATAGAAAATATTTTTCTATTTTAGAAAACATAATTTTTTTTTGCATTAAAAATATTCTTTTGTTTTTAAAAAAGAAAAAAGGAAAAATAGTTTTTCGCAGGTAACTATACTTTCGTTTTGTTGAAAAATAAAATAACAATTTTTTTTGGCCTTGAGGTTTCTTTTTATTGTTCATGCAAAAATGCGAGAAGCATACAATGCATATCAGAAAATTTTTATTAAAAAGAAAAAAACCTTCCCCCCCTGCTTTTTTTCATTTAGCACATGAGACTTTTTTTTATATCATCATATGTGTGCTCAGCAAAACGAAATGATAGCATTTTGTGTCAACGACCCATTACATCAACAAAGAACTACCTGACTTAATCTTTGAGATAATTAAATGCATCAACGTTATGTTTTAAACGCAGAAATACTTTTGAAAAAATTATTATTATTCTTTAAAATATGTCAAACATATTTTATACTCTTTTATCGAATACGATTATTATTTTTTTCTTTTTTTTGAAACTTTTCACATTTCTGAAAGATAATTTATGTATTTTAACAATATATATTAATTTAACGATTAATTAATTAATTTTAACGCTGAATTAGTTTATTAATTTTAATAAATTAGAATTATGGAAGAATAAATTAGTTTAGTAGTTTTAATAACTTTGTTTATAAATTATTTTATAAATTTAACGATAAATTAATTTACTATTAAATAATTTATTTATTTGATTCATTTAGCGATAAATTAATTTACTAATTAAACAATTAATTATTTTATTATTGTGACGATAAATTAATTTATTGATTAAAAAATTATTTTATTGTTTTAAAGATAAAATGAATTTATTATTTTAACAATACGCAGTATATAAAAATATTTAATAATCGAACGAAATGATAATTAAATATTTATATTTTTGTTAGATCGTTTGAAAAGAAATAGATAAATAATTTAATAAGTATTTATATAAAATTTGTCGACACTTTTTTATTTTGATCGATAAATATTTTTGATCGTGCAAATCTATAATTATTGCAAAAAAGCTTATAATAACAATATAAAACTTCTGTTCTCAATAAACAATTGAAAGAAACTTAAAAGTGTTTACAAAATCCATTTTTTTCGTTTTATAGATTTCTAAATATATCCGACAAAATGAAGGACGACGTGGATGAAGATGATGCTGGAGCTTCGTCATCCAGTTCCGTATCTGAATTGCAAACAGTTTACGGGTGAGTTTGAAATTTGTTTATTAGAATTTCATAATTTTGCAAAAATTCCAAAATCTTATTCGCATCGAGAAAGAAAAATAAAAACCAGAAGAATTGAAAATCTTTTTTCTCTCTAATTAACATTTTCTAATTGTCTAATTATCTTATTGTCCACGGAAAAAAGTTTTTACCTTAAACAGCCACAAATTTTTCTATATTAGCGAAATTTTTCATTATTTCAATAAATACTTTCGCTATTCCAGAGAAACTTTTCGCAGTTCCAGATAAAGTCCATCAATTTAATTTTATTAAAACTTTTTTCCTAATTTTTTTAAACAAAAGAAGTATATTCAATTTTTCTTATTTGTCTCGTTTTAAAAATTATTATATAAAAGAAATTTCTTTAGTGGTAACAGTGTCTCTTTTTCAAATGCTCTTTGACGATGATGATATCGTTATTGGATTACGATGAAGTTATATGGATAAGATAAAAAAAAGTACTTTCAAAGAGGTTGCAGTTATGTTTGATGATTAATTATTATTGGTCTTTGAATAAGCGATTGGTATAACAAGCTCTAATCTCTTTGGTATACGTTTTAATTAATTTACTCGCCCGGCGTGTATTTTTTTTTTCACTTGTAACGATCAATCTTGAGACGATTATTATCTGATGAAGAACAAGAGAGCATGGACTGCTCCAGAAAAGAATTTAAAAAAAAGTAATTCTTTTCGCCATGTCGAACCGAATCAATCACTTTTTCTATTTTAATGAGAAATTTCATTTACATTTGACAATCTAAATGAAATTTCTCATTAAAATAGAAAAAGTGATTGATTTTAAGAAGTTGACTTGACAAGTCTGAATGTAGATTGTGGATTTTTTGCTTAAATGACAATATGACATGAAATAAATGACAATGTAATAAAAGGGTATTTTGTTTTGATTTCGAGTCCTAAGTGATAATAGGTTTGGGGATGTCAAAGTAGATACGATTTTACCATTGGAACTCTTAAAAATCGTTTTGACTTTTGACTCCTTATGGTTGTTTTTTCCGTAGTGTTGCAAGCTGAAGTCGACCTAATCGAATGAAAGTTGTGGACTCTTGCTTTTTACGACAGAATATTAACAGTAGTTGTATTAATAGTAGTAGTTGGCAAATTAGTAGAGTTTGTTAGTTGCTTGCAGTGTCGGTTAGCAAAATAGCAGAGTTTGTTAGTTTCTTAGTTGCTTGCAGTGTCAGCTAGCAACAATTTCGATGTTTTCTTCTCATGTTCAGACAAGATATTCTCTTTCTTTCGAAATTGTCGATCTTTAATTGACCGTCGAATGAGAACTCTTATCGTTATCAGTGCTTGCACCGAGGCTTTCGATCCGATGCGGTTACATGTTACCAAAGCATAAAAAAAAAGAGGGACGGCGTTTGGTGTATCGTTTCGAGGCCGAGTAGTGGGAGAGAGTTTAGTTATACCGCTCGGCCGAAGGAAGAATTGAAGAAACCAACAATCCCGCCAGTTCGCATTCAACCTTCGCGTCAAACGTGTTTACACTTTGTTTTTTATCCCTCCCCCTGTTGATCTTCACGTTTTTCTCGCGACTGTGATTTCCACCATAATTATCTCTTCTTGCTATCAGATTTCATTGAATTTGATATTTTGTGATTCCTCCAAATACAGTGTATTCCATATCAAGTGGTCCATCGAGTGGTACACAAAGTTGTACATCAAATAATACTCCAAGTGGTGCACAAAGTGTTACATCAAATACTACATCAAGTGGTACATTAAATAGTACAAGTGGTACACAAAGTTGTACATCAAATAATACATCAAGTGGTACAACAAATAGTACATCAAGTGGTACACCAACTGAAACTACAGTGCATTGTGAATAGTTAATTAGAACTAAAATTGACCCCAAATGGTAAATGATTAGAAATTAAAAATTCCAGTACAATCAGTCAAAACTCCGTTTAATTTAAAGACCAACATTTTTCATTGGTTTAAGAAGGCGAAAATTCCGTTAAACATATTAAGACAGTGCCAAGGTCAACGCTCCCAAAAGTCCGAAAACAAATCCTCATTCCATTTCGCTTCACTTTATTCTGAATCAAGATATTGGCGGTCTAGAATTTCAGCGCATCGAAGAAGAAACGAAGTATTTACATCTTTGCTCGATATACACAAGCGTTCCCTTCTTGTTTGTGTTTGAAGAAGCAATATGTGTATTTGTGTCTGTTTGTGTGGTGTTCACTGATTTAAATAGATTGCACACGATGGAGACGTGTCGCGATTTCAAAGGTAACGTGAAACGATCAGACAACTCGCGGTGACGATTTCGAAAAAAAAACACACACGCTCACCGGAATCAACAAACAAGCCGGTTTTTTTTATTTCATTAATAAGCCGACAAACGTCGGTCGATTTTTGATTGAGACTAGAAAGAAGAAGAAAAGAATTAATGGATATTTTAAATAACGTTGAAGATAAATTTATTTTATCTGTCCCTGAATGTAATCAAGCGCGCCAGATTAGTTGCAAGGCTAATTTTAATGTGAAAAGAAATCAAGATTTTCAAAATGGCAATAATTGATTCAAGTGATTGTTGTGATGTTGGGGATTTTTTGAGAAATATTGAGCAGTTCGTGATTTCTCTAAATCGACGGGAAATTATTGTGTTTGTTGTTGATGAGTATTAATCATGTGGTCGCATGAACAAAGACAAGAATTCACTTTGGATAATTCACAACATTCTGGATTGTTTGATAATGAAAGTTCAGGTCATCAGCGTCATTCCACAACCATGGACATTTCACCTGGGCCAAGGTCAGTTAAACCTCCGACGTGTACAAATTTTCAAAACGAATCCCTCGTGTTTCCTGAAGAGAAAAAAGGGAGGGGGGGGGGGTTATTTTCTATCCTTGAAAACTTCGCTGCATTTGGGTCGCATTAAAAATTTACTTGCTAAAAACCATTCAAAAATTTAGCTTATGGTAAGCTTATTTTCTGTAGATGTTAGCACAGGACTAGGATATCGACGAATTGGTTCTAATCTTTATGGATGACGAATAAAATTCGCCTTAGTTTGTTTATATATATTTTTTTTGAAACTTTGGTCTTTTTGGGTTGATCTAACAGACTTAGAGTGTTGTTAGATGTTAAAACAAAACTGTTTTATGTTTGTTGTAAGTAAAGAGAACGATTGAAACTAACTCGTCTGCTATAATTTTTGTTGCTATCAGGATTATTTCACAAGGAAGAAGCTACAGCTGATGGTACCATCGTAATGAATGGTTCTTCCTAAAATTATAGTTACAATTAGTTGTCGCAATTAGTGGCATTTACCATTTCTGGTAGTAACAATTAGTGGTATTTACAATTACTGGTAGTAACTATCAGTGAAAGTTAGAATTCTTGGTCATTGCAAATAGTTGTCATTGCAAATAGTGGTAGTTACATTTAGTGGTAATTGCAAATAGTAATAGTTACAATCGCCGAAATTTATAAACAACAGTTATTATAAGCAGTGGTTTGGTGCCCGTACCAATCAAACTTTTTCATTAACACAACAATCGGCGGTTATAAATTTAGTTAATTAACAAGTACCGAGTTCACCTAATAATCATTAACGGTAATTAAAAACCCAATTTCAAAACACAGCGGATTTAGATTCATACACAAAGTTAAGAATTACCGTCACTCAATAATAATATACTCTCGATTCACCTTCATTTTGTCAATGAAAAATGGTGATTGATGATTTTCAGGTTTATATATCTTGAAAACGAATGCATAATCAATCTTACGTTTCTTTTTCATTTATCGCCAGGTTCATTATATAGTTGCGAGTTTCTTATTTGAAAAATTTTAGCGGTCCAACTTCTTTGAGTATATATTTAGGTTTAGAGAGGAATTTCTTGGAAGGATTCGAATTGATGTTAATGGTAGGGTTGTTGTTGACCTCAAAATTTCTGCTTCGTTTATAATTCTTTTCACGAATTTTCGCCTATGATTTATCAAAAAGAAAAAGTTGTTGTTCGTTAATAATTTTGAAAAGTATTTTTTTGCAGATACTTTTTTGGAAACTAATAGAAACTTTATTGAAACTTTTGAAACTTTTGAAACTTTAATAGAAACTTTGTTGAAACGTTTTGAAACTTTTTTTTAGTGGTTTTTTTCCTGGTTGGTAATAATTATTGTCGATTGGGTGAAGACAAGGGCAAGAGCCTAATATCATCGTTCAAGGACAAATTGATATACGGAGAAACAAATAAGCTGCATCGAGACACAAATTTATTAAAGTGTCTCGCATCTTAATTATACTCGAAAATTATTTCAACTGAATGAAATTAATATTCGTGGTATTAGTTTTTTTCGGGACTTGATTTTAATTCTGTTAATCTTGATCTTTTTTCAAGAATTTCATCTGTATTATAATTGATTTTTTTTTCTACACGTAAACAAGACACGAATTTTGGATAAATTCCAAAATTTCGGGGGGGTTATTTGGAAAAGTCATTGTACCGCCTACGAATTGATCTTGGCGAAAAACTATATATTCTGCGTTTATAAAAGAACACAGTGAAGTGAGTACCGTCATCAACGTGAGAAAATATTATATTAAACGTTTTCTCTTCTATTTTTACATATGTCTGTTACTATTACGTGATACGTTTTTGAGTGTAATAAATTTTACTATACTCAAATTTCACACGTGGGCAGATATTTTAGCCCCTTCGTCTTCATTTTTGTTTCTCGTCATTAAATGTGTTTTTCGAAAAGTATTAAACAAACATTTTCCAGGAAGTTCCCGATAATGTGTATAATCAATTTTTATGTATAATTTCATATTTTTATGAGACTATTTAGCTTGTTTAGTTGTAAAAATTGATGATTGAGTTATAATTGACCTGAGTTGTTGGTATTTATAGATTTTGCTTGGACGCCAGTAAAATTTTTTGCAAAAGGTCTAAACAAATTCCTTACGGGAAATGCGGTTTACTAAGTTTTTACTTGGACACCAGACTAGTTGCAAACCGTAATAATTTTGATTCTTGTTTGTCAAAATGCTTTCGAAAAAATGTTTGCTGCTCGAATGAGATCGGGATGTAAAAGGGCGCTGATATTCTGCACTTCGAATATCAAAATTTGAATTTCGAATTTGTTTTCGGATTGACTTGATTTCACAAGAAGCTGCTGTTGAGGAACGTTAACGATGTCTGCTTCCGTTAGGCGGTACAAATATATCGGTATAAATGAATGCCAATTTGATCGATTCACTCGAAATTTATCGATATCCAGTTGTGATTATACAAATCATTCAAAAATGTTATTCTTATTTTCTCCTTCTCAGATTTAATATTAAATTTGAAAATTTACTTTCTATGGCAAAAGATACTAATCTTTTGCCATAGATACACTGAGAAAACTGGAGTATTGGACTAAACATCTGGAGGGAAAAATCGTTGATATTTGAGAGTTAGCTATTGGATAACAATCTAAATGTTCAAATTCACCATTGACAGATATTCGTGCCATTTCTCTAACAGAGGGACAAATTAACCATCTTGAGAAATCCCTTCCTTATCCGGCGCGAAATGAATAAATATGGCAACCTAACCCCTAAATTAAATACATAAAATGTCAGAAAAATAATTTCGCGCGCATCAGATCGTACACATTTTCTGCGCAACTTTTAACCCTCAGATATAATGGGAGAGAATATACAAGTAGATTTCCATTATCAATTCAAAATTTATTTTAGAAGCACTATTTAACTCTCTTCATAAGCAAAGAAAACATACACTTTTTGAACCTCTGAATTTGACTGTCCAGTTTTCTCAGTGTAGTTTTTGTTCTTATTCTGTTGGGAAAGGGAATATTTTCTTTAGTCTGTTGGCAAAAATTCTTTTTTGTAAAATGAAATCTTAATCTTTGTTGGCTAGACGAAAATTTATAAGAGCATCTGATAAATTTATTTATTACTCGGGAATTACAGGAATAAATATATTATTGGCTACTTGCTAGACGGTTTGGCGACTCTCATAATACTCATTTGCGGTTGCCCTTGAATACTTTTAAACCTTGAAAAATTCACTTTAACATTGCGTAATCGAACAATGAAACATTGGCATTGATATAACCGGAACCTACCCGAACGTAAAAACATGATCTAACGTTATAATTTGATATTTTGTCGCTTCAAGCATGAAAGATGCATTGTCAGATTTTTAATACACGGGGGAATAAAAATTACAATTCTTGTCGATTGTCGCATTTTTAAATATCTGACTTTTTTCTCTTTAATTTCACGGAAAACTTTTCCACTTATGCAAAATCATCATATATTAATTAAAATTTTAATGATTTTACAGTTTTTGTATTAACATTTACAATTTTTAATTATTTATCATTAAAAGATATTGAAACCTTTAATACTTATTTTGACGATAATTACAGATGCAGTAGAAGTATTAATTATTTCCAGAATATCGATTTTAAATTGTATATAGATGATTGAAGTGTTATTAATTTTCTTGAAAGAGTTTTTAAATTGAATAGGAAACAAAATTCACTGGAGTTTATATGTGCATAATAGTGGAGGATAATATTGTTTGAAAATGAAAAGTGTGAACTTGACGGACTTCATCATGATCGGACAATATATATAATAATAATAATAAAATGCAACGGAAACCTGACCATTGACACATAACACGTCATCGCGTTTCAAGTGCAATCAGTTGAGTGAATACACACAGGTTACAGTCTATAGAGAGTGTCGCAGGTGATGTTTGAGGGAGGTCGGGGCTATATTTTACTTGAGTTACATGAATACAATATATTAAGTAAAGTCCAACATTTTGTGGCGATTTTTAAAATATTTATGATTTTTTGTTCTTGCGGCAGTGATGAATGTGTATGAATGAGGGAAAATTTTATGTTTTTGAAAATATAATGAAAAAAGTGAATTTAAATTTCCTTTGGAGTTTATTCTCGTTTTTAATAATCCACGTGCAATTTTATTCGTTTCGTATATTCTGAAATTCAATTCAATTTGAAAATCCGTTTCCTCATTTTTATGCAGCTTCACGTTTGTTTTACATTTTCGATTTGTTTTTGGAATATTTGTTTACATTATAGGGGAGAGTGGGGCAAGACGGGGTACTTAAGGTTTAAAGCGCAAAAAAACGAAAATTATCGAATATATACGTTATTATTATTTTTAATTATCATCTTTGGGAATCAGTCTTTCGTAAAAAAAGGCGTACAAAGGCCATCTGTTTCTTAAAAAAGCTTTTAATTAATAATATTGAAAAAATTGCAAATCTCCCCATCTTGCCCCACCGGCGGGTAAGATGGGGTACCCGTAGGGGCAAGATGGGGTACTAAAAGAAACAACCTATTTCTGTCGACAAATTTCACAAGTAAAGGTTGCATCTTCATCTTCATGCATAACTGCAGTGAGCCCATTGGCCGCAGACAAAAAAAGCAGCCCAGCCTTCATTTGAGTCTAAATAATAACCATTACAATAGAGACAAGGTGTATTTTCCACTTTACCATCGCTAATTGATGATTTAACCTGACAAGTTTTTTTCTTTTTGGTCACTCTTATTTTATTCAGTCTTGATTTTAGTAGTTTTCTTAACTTCTCTTATTTCTCTTTTTTTTTGCTTAATTTGTGAACCCCGTCTTGCCCTACTCTCCCCTACCCCATCTTGCCCGCACCTACGAAATTTAATAAAACGATTAATTACTACAATTTACGATTCAACAAAGAAAAAAAAACATATGCTTCCCTTCTTCTGTAACCCTTGACAGTTAG